GTTCTCACTCATGGACTCTCGACCCGGCTCTATGAGTAACTCCACGAGTGTTTCTCGCCAGTATTGCCGGTAACTTAGCAGACCCAGGTCACTGAGGGGCTTTTCTGGAGAGCCAAGCTTTCCTTCTCGCTTGCTGAGCTCATAACTGAAGGAAATAAGCAGTCGCCCGTAGCCGAGACGCTGGTATTGTGGTAAAGTCAAAATACAAGCGAGGTTATAACCTTCTGCGGAATCTTTTTCTTTGGAAAAATAGCCCACCAGATGGCAACCGGTCTCATCTCGAGTGGCCATGCAGTAGAATAGGAAAGGGTCGACGTCGTAGTAGAGTGTTTTATGGTCAAGGAAGAGCTTGCTAAGAAGACAAAGGTTGCGGCACCAGGTGCGCTGGCGTCGACCGTCCACTTCAAAGAATGATATATGATCATCACGATAGATCTCGTTCCCAGGGGGGTGCACAAGGGTACATTTCGCACGGTGGCGCTCAAAAGCGCGTTTGTTGTCGAAATAACTCAAGCAAAATTCATCAATGTAGATCATGTCGACATCTGAGAACGATGCAGGATAAGGAGAGAAGTACCACGGCTCAATGTCAAACTTGCCCATTTGTAGACGATTCAAGTTACGCACACGGTGAATTTCCGTGGGATTTTGGGTCATACTCCCGCTTGTACGCAATCGTTCGATTTCCTCTTCGCGTGACATTTTACCTTGTTCATGCTCCTCCTTGGTATCCGTGAAACTGACGCCGATCATATCAACATCTTCCAATTCGGGCTTAGGGGTCACGTCTGCAGAAATGGCTTCCGAATCTAAGACTGACAAATTTGCAGGCGTCTCGTCACGGTTTTCTTTCCCGCCTGCCTTAGACGGACGCTGTGCCTTACCAACATTGGTACTTTTGCCCGTCAAAAGATCAGGGGTTGCCGAAACCTCGCGGCTTCCGGCTCTTGCACGCTTCTGAGCATTCTTGCTTGGTGCTTTGTTACCAGGACCTGCTTTCTTCTTCTCTGGTTTTTCAGGCTGCGGCCACTCAACCTCGTGGGATAAATCAATCCTTGCGGAATCAATCCACTCTACAATTGTGTCAGCACGATCTTGCAATATAGATACTGACGCTAGACTTACCGTCGAGACGCTTATTGAAATCGACGTAATGGACGCTAGAGTCTGATTAGCACTCTTATGTAGGCACATTCCATGTCTATTTGAGACATACTAAAAGCTTGGACCATCTTTGCGTTGTCTGATAGACAAGATTTCGGCTTTTCTCAATTCTCCATCCTACCAAGCTATGTCAGTTTATAGTTCGATGCATGATATCAATCACGTGATTATATAAAATTTGAAGGGATTGAATAGCAACTAACCTTCTGAACCATAGCCTTAACACCGATTCTATCGTTCTGATTAGTGGATGCGACCGATAAAATAGATATCAAGGACACTATAAATAATTTCTCAGGGTATATTCAGCGACATACCGAATGGTATTGAGGGTGGCAAACCCCTTCTCAACGGGGTCCGGCGTTGCGGTTGCCTCCCCATGGGAATCTCTGACACCCATCGTGTCGGGGGAGTGATACTCGATCGATCTAACGGGTTTCTATAGATGGAGATACAATAGTGGAGGGAATACGCGATGCAGGCGGAGGGAGACGATACTGGAGGGGATGGAGGATTGTCCGTTGCGATGCTCGGAAGAGACCGCCTTTGAGGCTGTTTGCCTAAGGTTCCCAACCTGTGGTCATCTTATCATCCGTTTTTAGTAGCCCTGACAACCCGATATTGACAGTGACAGTCAGTCATAATGTGGTTCTTTTTCTGGTTGAGCATGCAAATGATGCTTCTACATTTCATTCAGTTTGTCTTGAGTATCCCCTTAATAAAATAGGCTTGAGCCAACAATAGAGCCACCGCATAAAGAGACAGTATGAGAAAACTTCCAGTAAAACCCGATACACACGCCATGTATGAAAACTTGCAGCAAATGTGGAAGAAGGCATAATTGGATTACATTTTGGAGTACAAAATTCAAGCACTAACCTCACAACTTCGGCATCAATGCCATCCGTTGACCATCCCCCCGGTCCCTGCAACGAGTTCATCAAGCTCCTCTTTTCGGGTCCGGTATACTTCTTGAGCTTCACGCTCTCTTCTCATGACAAAGGCCACGTCGTCCCGCAGCTTCTCTAGCCTCGTAGAAATGGCTGCCTCCTCAGAAATCTGCAAGTTACGGAATGCATCTAGCTCATCCTTTGACTTCTCCAAAGCAGCGCTGGCTTCAAGTATCTTAGTCCGTAGCATCTTCGCCCGGTTTTGATACCCACCGTAATGTAGCGCAAGCTTCTTCTCAAGTTTGTTTCCTCTCTCGGCTGTGGCAAGCAGAGAGGCTTGCACATTATCAAAAACACTAATCATGCGTTGCTCTTGTTGGTACTCGTCCTCTTCGTCGTCGGCATAATTGGAGAGACCTGGAAGAGCCTTCGAGTGTGTAGTTGTCCACTGTGCATCGAAGTTCTCTGTCCACTCCGGTTTCTTTTCATCGGTAGTGGCTTCAGTGACAATAGCCCTGCGAGCTGCTTCCATCAACGTGTCGTCAAACCGTTCCACCTTCCGTGCTTTGCCCTCTACCTTAGCACCGGGGACGGGGAATTTTCGAGCATCGTGGGCAATGAGCAAGGCAGCCTCCTTGGAGATCATACCGACAATCGGATCCGTCACTTGCGACGCACGTTCGACCAGCGCGTCTATATCTAGAACGCTTGGACGGGGCAGTGATCGCTGATAGACTTGTGATTGACGCTTTAATTCAGCCTGTGCTGCCTTTTCTCGCGCCTCTCTTTCCCTCCTGTCACGCTCCGCCATATCCTCTTCCCTATATTCCTCACTGACGGTTGGCTCTGCAGACTCTGAAGGAAGTTCTTCCAGTTCCCATTCGGTTTCTTTTGGTTTTGGCAGCGCAGAAAGCTTGCTGCGAATGCTTTGGCGCATAAAATTCTCGTGCATCCTGATCTCCTTCGGAGTGCTCCCAACAAGTTGTCCGCCTTCCATCTGATTCAAGGAGAAATGGTCACGGGGGGTTCGTAGAGGGGTCGCCCCCGGACCAACACCTCCACGCATAGGTGTCGCACCGACACCACCATTGGCCTGTCGGAAAGGCGTGGCCATAGGGTTCGGGGTGACAATCTCTTGGCGCCGTGGTGCAATACCATCAAAGCCGGTAGAAGATCCTCCCTCGTGCAAAGGTGTGTTCTCTCCTCCCAGCAATGATGATTGGGTTTCAGTAAGGGCTCTGATGTTCTTAATCTCATTGGCGATATGATCTTCCTCCGGCGCAGCGCGAGGAGTCCTGATCGGTGTCCCGCCAACGATTGCCGAATAATTTCCAAGCAATCCTCTTGTCATTTCTTCATCTCCAGCCATTTTGCTGGCCTTATCACCTGCCATACCCATCTTGATGATATCCTCCATTTCACTTTCACTAACCTGGGGGCTTGGTAGGACAAGAGCTCTTCTTTTGCTACTCTGCTCCGCCTCGCGGATCTTCTGCATTTGCCCAGCTCTTGCTGCTGCTGCAGAAGCAGCAGAATTGCCGTTCTTATCATTTTTCCTCTTCTTGCGCTCCGCCTCCTCGTCTTGGTCTCCTTTGCGCTTGTTGGCAAGCTGTTGCTTACGGGGGTCGAACATTTCGCGCTGTCTCTCATTCCTCGCTTCTTCCTCCATAGTATCGTAAAAACCAGGGGCTGCCGGCTTTTCGAATGGGATATCGGCATTGTAATCCATCTCACCCTTCTTTCGAGTGACAACCTTGATGTTGATACCAGCATTTTTGAGTTCACGACGCTTCTGAAGCACAGCAAGTCTCCGGGATTCTTCCAGCTGTCGTTCTCTAGCTTTTCTCTTTGCTTTCTTTCCTTGTGTATTCGCCAAACGAGCTCGAGCTTCACTCAGCATCTCCTTTTCGTCTTCGTCAAGGTCAATTGTATCCGGGCGAGCGGGCTTCGATTCAGGGTCGGGATCTAATTCGCCAGGCCTAGTTAAAGTTAGCGAAAAGGAATCCATAGCATAAGTACATATTAGCATACCGTAACCGTCTCACATCGTCCGCACTTGGTGCAGCGGTCTCCCCGCCCTCAGGACCTCCTAGACCGAACTCGTCGTTTTCACGAGCTTCCGCCTCATCCAACAATTTCTGGTAGCGCTCGAGACATTGAGTGGCCGTACGTCCAACTATTGGTGCAATCGTACGCCACTGAGTGGGCATCAACTTGGCCAAATGCAGTAGCTTCTCATCCTCCTCCCTCGACCACTCGACCTTCCGGATGCCGGGATCCAGCCATTCCACCCATCGGGCCTTGCATTGCTTAGGTGTTTTTCTGGCTAGAAGTGAGGATACTCGCGCCCACTGGTTGAGACCATACTTGGACACCTGTAAGATGTCATCTATTAGTGACCGCCCGATCACACCACAACAAGCTTCTTCAAATTCGTCTAGCGCGCATGTTAACTTACCGCCGCCCGAAGCACCTCATCTTCGATATTCGTCCTAAATACATGTGAGCCTTTGATCAATAGGAATATTGCAAGTCGCAATAGCTCTTACCAGACACCTCCTTTGACCACCGGCATGGTTGTTAAGATTCAGCAGCCGTCTTCAGACCAATACAATTATAGTATCGGTATGCGAGATTCTAAATAAAGACTTGAACTGAGCCCCCAGGGCTAGTGGCTAGAGACGTCAGTGCAGATGATAACCCGACGCGAGCGAAAAGCACGTCGCTGAGAAGTCAGTCTTCAAGTTGCCCGCGATAGCCGCGAAGAGCTTTAGCGCGGCAGACGCACTAGCATGTAATTTAATCGCCCCGCGATACGGTATTAGGTAAGCGGGTCCAGATTTTTGGCCGCAAATAATTCAGATTATCTACTAGCGCTAAAGGAAAAAGGAAAAGACTTCCCACTTTACAATTCGATATTGCAATCTAGTTGGTAAGGTCTATAAAATGTCTCCTTCCACAGATGCCCCCAGACAATTCAGCCAACCTTCCCGTAAGGGTAAAAAGGCGTGGCGAAAGAATGTGGATGTCACGGAGGTCCAAGAAGGTCTCCGGTTGCTGAAAGATGAGGAGATCAAAGGGTAAATATGACCTTACTCCCTTTCTCTCGATGCTTCAAAAGCTGATTTAATATTGAAGCGGTGTCCTGGCAGAGAAGCCTTCTGAAGAGCTGTTCACCTTCGATACCACTGGCTCGACAGAAATTCGCAAAGCATTCGAGAAAAAGCACAAGCCGCTGAAATCGGAAGAAATTATTGCCCAGCGGTCGGTCATCCCAGCGGTAGACACTCGCAAACGCAACAACTCCAAGGTGACAGATGGCGTTCTCGAACCGAAGACTAAGAAACACAAGAGCGACTGGGTTACCCGCAAGGATTGGCTGCGCTTAAAACAAGTCGCTAAAGAAGGCAAACCCATCAAAAAGGACGTAGGAGGTGAATTCTATGATCCCTGGGCTGATGCTGAAGATCCAACGCCTGTGGAAGATCCGCAATTTGATTTCTTGGAGAAACCGAAGCCGAAGGTTGCACCTGTAACGCTAAAGGAAGCCCCGATTTCACTTGCCGCAAATGGAAAAGCAATTCCGGCTGTCCGCACGCCGAACGCTGGCACAAGTTATAATCCAACCTTTGAGGACTGGGATGGTCTTCTACAGGAACAAGGAGCCAAGGAGGTAGAGGCAGAGAAAAAGCGCCTGGAGGAGGAGCGTAAAGAAGAAGAAAGACAGCGTCTGATTGCCGAGGCCAAGGATGACGATGGCGAGGTGAGGTCGGACGATGAAAGTGCCTGGGAAGGTTTCGAAAGCGAGTACGAGACTCCGGATTGGCTGAAGAAGAAACGTCCAGAGAGAAAGACGAAAGCACAAAGAAACAAGATTAAGCGACGTAAGGAGGCTGAAAGGCAAGCAAAATGGGAGGCACAGATGAAGAAGAAGGAAGAGCAGGTTGAGCAGGCAAAAGCTATTGCCGAGAAAATGAAGCAGCAAGAGCTTGAGCGCGCTGAGTCTTCCGACTCTGAGGGAGAAGGTGATGATACTGCTTTGCGACGAAAGCCTTTGGGTGGAAGGACATAGTACGTTTCCCCAGTTCTACTTGTATCTTATTCATTTACTAACCTCACACCAGTGCTCCCGAGCAAAAACTGGAGGTTGTTCTACCAGATGAACTGCAGGACTCACTGCGCTTGCTTAAGCCAGAGGGAAATCTGCTCGACGACCGATTCCGGACGTTAATCGTTCAAGGAAAGTTAGAATCTCGAAAGCCTGTTTCACAACCCAAGAAGGCAAAGAGAAAGCTGACGGAGAAATGGGGTCACAAGGATTTCAAGGTTCCAGGCCTGTAAATAGATTCCCTTTTCGTTTCCATGTTGATTTCTTTTCACATAGACTTCTATTGTATAATGAGGCGTTGCTAGATATAAAAAGTTACTATGCTTTCCAATACCCCGCATCGGGCATTAAAAGGCTGCTTATATTGTATAAACTAAAGCTTTTGTGTAGTTACTAAACTAATCTATACACCCTATAATTGGTGTTATAAGGGAGTAAATCAATGCTGATAAGCTGAGTACATATAGGGAAGTTATGGCCAGCCAAAAAAAGAAAAAAAAAAGAAAAGAAAACTGAGGACCGGAAGTGTTCGAGACTCCCAAGTGGGCCGTCCGAAAATTTAACTTTAGCGCAATTTATCGGATTTATCGTCGATTCTGGAAAGCTGCTCCTCCGCATCAAATATCTTTCTTATCCCCTCACATCGCATATCCAGAACCAGAGCACAATGCAATAAGATCCATTTGACCATTGGAATGGATGTGAAAACCCTTTCCAGCAATTGGAAGAAACTCCAGGAGACGCTGAAAAAGAATCCCGTCTCCAGCTCTACAAAACGCAAGACATCGGAGCGGGAAGGCCAAAATGGTGTGGTAAAGAAGCGAAAAACGGAGACAGTCGAAGGGAAAACCAAACTTGAACAATCTCGTGTATTGAGAAAGAGGAAGAGAATGGCCGACAGTGCTGCTGATGGAGACAAGGATGGCGTTCAAGAAACCGTCGTGAAAACTATCTCCCGGAAGACTTCTACTACCTCGATTGCGCCGCGACCCGAAGTGAAGATTGCGAAGGTCAATGAGGGACGGTCACCGACGTTAGTATCTCTGCTGTCTCTCTGCCATATGTTTTAGTTCAACCGTTTGCTAATCCTGTGCTAGTGCGGAACTAGGTAAATATGTTGCGATGGACTGCGAGATGGTGGGAGTCGGCCCTAACCCCGACAACGACTCGGCTCTTGCACGTGTCAGTATTGTCAACTTCAACGGCGAACAAGTATATGACTCCTTTGTACGACCGAAAGAAATGGTCACGGATTGGCGAACACATGTGAGCGGCATATTACCGAAGCATATGGTGGAAGCCCGGTCCCTTGAACAAGTTCAAAAAGATGTTGCAGAGATCATGGATGGGCGAATACTCGTTGGGCATGCCTTACGGAACGATCTGGATGCACTTCTTCTAAGCCATCCCAAGCGCGACATTAGAGACACTAGCAAACACCCACCATATCGAAAGATTGCCGGGGGCGGTTCTCCCCGCTTGAAAATGTTGGCTTCAGAATTTTTAGGTCTGGATATTCAGAGCGGCGCTCATTCTAGTGTGGAGGATGCTAAGGCTACAATGCTCTTATATCGGCGAGATAAAGATGAATTCGAGAAGGAACACCTGAAGAAATGGCCGGTACGGGTAGTGGTTGAGAAGGAGAATGGAGATGACCAGAAGAAGAAGAAAAAGAAGAAGAAGAAGACGCGCAAGAGGTGATTAAGTTAAATACAAGCTTGTCTAATATACCCAAATTCTATGGCGTTTGATATCATCCAATCCCGACTACTTTGATCATAGATTCCCTGGTTGCATACTGTATCTCGAGCAAGCATATAGAATTGGAACGCTTTTATTACACATAATTGGTCCTTGGCATTTATCGACGTATTTTGTCTGAAGTTGAGATGTGAGAGACTACAGTGCTCATTTATACGTACAGTCGATCAGTCGATGCTCTGGGGTCGGAAATTTCCGCTCCCAACGGCATTTTAAATCACTTTACGCGGAGAACGCGACGCGTGTTCCAGTCTATTCCCATCCATCATCATCCAGCTCACAGAACAACATCCTGGATTGTTAACAAATCAGCTAACTTCCTTGTATTCGGTTCATTTACTTCTTGTTTGCACTAGTCAATTAGAATTAAGATCCAAACGCAACATGTTCGCTATCCAACCTCAGCAACAGTCCTCAGGATCAGAACACGCGAATTCGACAAAGACCGTTACTCCCAATATTCTTCCTTGTCGAATTCATTATGATGGTCCCGTTGGAACCCTGGGCCGCTACTGGAAGTCTGAATCTGATGAAAAAGGTCAGCGCTCCCATTAGCCTTCGAGTTCCAAAATACTGATTGGCGCAGATACAAACCTACAAACTGCCTACTTCCGCGGCCGTAAGCTGCGAGGCCGACGTGTTGCGATTCCAGAGGGTTACGAAGGTGAGTAATTATATGCCTGTTGTAAATCCTACAGACTAACAACCCAACTCAGGGATTGTTGCGCTCCCAACAGAGCGTGTGATGCCACCGACCCAACGCAACGCAAACTCTACGATCAGCGAGGAAACGGAACAGGAAGAGCCAGTCAAGATCCTGGAGAAACAAGCTACTTTCAATGAATATGTGGTGTGGGGTCACGAACTGACCCCTGCGGCGGACGACTCCTTCGTCAAGGGAGTTGAAGAGTGGCTGAAACTGGCTGAAGCGGTGGGTCAAAACATTCTTTCCCCCCTTACTCTTTTCAATCTTGTGCGTTTGCGTGTTCGAGGACTGATCACGAGTAGATGCATTGCCAGCCTAATGACGAAAAGAAGTCTTCATGAACTCGGCCCTGGTTTATCTGTGGACATCCTACGCGACGAAACCATTTTGGTATATAGACACTTCCCTGTTGAACACGACTCTGGTCTTTACAGGGTACTCTCCTTAGAGAAATTGCAGCGGCGCCTGACAAGATGCGGCCGCACTTGTTTGACACGTTGGCCAGCCGTCGCACATTGACATCCTCATATCACCATGGTGATCTATGGTGAATGGTGCTTGACGCATGATCATCTATCAATGGTGAAATATCCGCGATCCTGCTTATGACCGCCATGAGGATTTCAATCCGGCTAGAAATATGCCTCCATCCAATTTCTACGTACAGAAGCACTTATTGGCGGCTCGGTTCCTTGCTTTGCTTTCTCTAGCGTGCGCGGCATCATTCTATTACGACGTGCTGTCCGGGAGCCACATACAGTGTCAAAAGAGACTATACTGCTAGCATATAGACAAATCATATACTTTCCAAGATCGAAGCGTGCATTGCCTGGTTGAATCATTGAATATTCGCCCTTCTGGTGAAGAGCTATATACTGTAAGAGATATAGCCAGGGTTCTCTATTCCACAAGACCAAAAGATCACATAAATCTGAATCGTAGATTCAGATGCCCTGAGTTGCACCTATCTAGCTTCCTGCCGTTACATAGATCGATCACAGTATTGATAACACCTTGATAAGTATTGACCGCCCACTATTCTGCCGGGCACGTATTAAAGATACGGGGTAAATTTAAGCAAGATCAACCTTCAACTTTTTGATACCCCACACAATCATGCAAGCCGGCAACGATACTAAAGTGGTACCCGAAGCACTGATCTCGAAGTTTGAGATCAGCAGGTTGCTCAGGCAAGGTTCGAACTCCCTGAATTATTACAAGTGGCTATTGTCAATACCTTAGTAACTAAGAAAGCTATACATAGATCAAAGTGGCCGCCGCATCGCTCTCCTCGGAACAATCGAAGGAAAACAAGGCATTCTCATAGCCGAACGAGCCGCCTTCGCTACCGAATCCCTCGAGGTATTGAAGGCGTTCCACTCTGCAATTACCCGTGTAAACAACCTGGGTGATAATGACATCTACCGCTGGTACCTAGCATCGTCAGGTGTGGACAGTGAGGGCCACCAATCTGCCGACCTCAAACTGAACCTCATCTGGCCGTGCACCGAGCAGCATATCAAGAAGTACTCCGATCAGGTTCTGCGCATGGTGACCGAAACACCTGAGATTTACCGGTACTATATCCGGCCGTATATGAGTGCCAAGCGGGAGGAGGGCCGGTTGAATTGGGTATTTAACATCCTTGAGGGCCGAACGGAACAGGAAGATGTTATTCTTCGGGACCAGGGTCACGGTCCCGAGGATGGGTTCCTGATGCTTCCTGATCTTAACTGGGATCGGAAAACGATGGGCTCGTTGCATCTGCTGGCTCTTGTGCAGCGGAGGGATATCTGGAGCTTACGAGATTTGAAGAAGAAACATATCCCTTGGTTAAAGTATTTGCGTCAACGGTTGCTAGAGGGTACAGCGAATATGTATCCGGATTTGGATCTGGATCAGCTCAAGCTTTATGTGCACTGTAAGTGGTATCATGTAGGTATCCTGAGGGGACAATAACTGACAGTCATCAGACCAACCGACATATTATCACTTCCACGTTCACATTGTTAATGTCATGCTGGAAGCTGGCACTACGCAGGCTACGGGCAAAGCGTTTGGGTTGGAGAACCTTATTTCTCAGTTGGAGACCATCTCTGGCGACGAGGAAGCGAGTATGGCCGATGTCAGCCTGTCTTATTTCCTTGGGGAAGCCAGTGAGCTGTGGACCGATATCTATGAACCGTTGAAACGGGGAGTGAAGCCATTGCAGAACTAGAACTGTGCTTAGCTATAGACAGGAAGACCATAGACATGGTTATGACTGATATGAACTTATGACAGAGACATATTCCCATGAAATTATCTGCATGAATTCTCTGCGAAATAAATCATATTTACATAAACATAACTGACAGGCCCATGTGATCAATATATTGACTGGGCCAAACCAGGTCCGTAAACATTTAAGGCCGTCACATGTCATGTCATTGACTGGAAGGCGGAAACCCCGATTTAATTAGTACTATATAAATAAATTTAACTGCGACCCCGCAGATCAGCTCCAACCCCTCACTAACAACATTTTACTAACTCCGTCACTCCACTTTGACCTCAGAAACCTACCGTTTCATACCATTTCACATCAAAAACTCTGTGTTAATATATCCAAGGAAAGAACCGATAAGCAAGATGACAGACCATGTAGATGTCCCAGAAACCAACAAGGCCTTCGTGCCCCTCGGTATATAATACCCCACTCCAAGCCAGCAGAGGAAGGCAAGAAGACACCAACTGACCCAATGGACACAGAAAACAACCCAGAAGTGATGTCGCACTTAGTCCACCAGCTCGGTCTCCCACCAACCCTAGGCTTCACAGACGTATACTCAATCGACGAGCCAGACCTCCTAGCCTTCGTTCCCCGTCCCTCGCACGCCCTCCTCCTCGTCTTCCCCGTCTCCAAAACCTACGAATCATCCCGCGTATCCGAAGATAGCAAACTCGCCGACTATAATGGCTCGGGACCCTCGGAACCGGTCATGTGGTTTAAACAGACGATCCGGAACGCTTGCGGTTTGATCGGATTGCTGCACGCTGTGTCCAATGGAGAGGCTCGGAAACAGGTTCTTCCTGGATCGGATTTGGATGGTCTTCTGCGGGATGCAGAGCCCCTTGGTCCTATTGACAGAGCTAATCTGTTGTATGAGAGCAAGGCACTGGAGAGCGCTCATGCTGATGCGGCGAAGTTGGGTGATACTACGGCCCCCCAGGCAGAGGATTCCGTTGACTTGCACTTTGTGGCATTTGTGAAGGGAGTTGATGGAAAGTTATGGGAGTTGGACGGGAGGAGGAAGGGCCCGTTGGAAAGGGGGAAGTTGGATGAGAATGAAGATGCATTGAGCGAGAAGGCGCTTAACTTGGGAGTTAGGAGATTCTTGAAGACTGAGGCTCAGGGTGGTAACCCGGATTTGAGGTTCAGTTTGGTCAGCTTGGGGCCTGTTTTTGATTAAGGGACATGTTAAATGTATCTTTTCGTTTGTGTATACATATTCGAATAGGTGTTTGGGAGTTTACATATGCTGGGTTTGCTCAGACTAGAGTAGCTCAGGTGAAGACAATGGCCAGGTATCTACGGTGTATGTAGTGTCAACGTATGTAACGATAGAAGTCATTCATGGCTCTATAATTATCCTATGTATAACAGAGATGTCAAGAAAGGAAATCTGGTATCTAAACATACATCATAAACCAATTCAGATCAACTCAAGCTCGCATCTTTTTCATGGACCCACCATTCCTCCGAGTTGAACTTCAGGGCTTCATCTCCACAGGCCCACCATCCGGCAGTCAAATTACGTGCGAATACCTCTAAGGCGGAATAAGTTGTGCGATCTTCCGACTTAGGAGAAGGAGAAGCATCGTCAAAGAAAACTTTCTCAAAAATCTCCTTTAAGTTCGGCTTCCGGGAATGCACATCTGGAACAGCAGCGATGAACCTCCTAGTGACGACACCGCCACCACTTTTCTCCGATGAACCAGCCGGCAGTTGGGGACTGTTCCTCCTCCCTATGACCAGAACTTCATAAGGTTTCCGCCAGAGACCATCTATCGGTGTGATAGGATCCCCGTTTGTCGTGGTCTTGATCCAAATCCATTCCTCGCAGACGGAAAGACCTGCGCCTTGGATAGCATCATAGGCTGTTCTCCGCGCTTTTGCAGAGTTGGTAATCCATATGGCTGCTATAGAGTTTTGGGTCTGTGGCTCGGGCGGCTTTGGGGCCGATATACGATCATCAGAAGTGCCGCAACGGAAGATGCGATGACTGTCTTGCAAGTGCACCCTGAGGATATCTCGAATACGCTGCGTCAGTAGATCACCCTCGAGATAGTGCTGCGTATGGTAATGTCCGCTGCGTCGAACAGATCTATTCACCCATGGTGGATCAAGAAGGATTAAATCGAATTTCCGGTCTTGAGAGAGACCAGGTATAGGGTCTGGGAATCTGTTGGGCTTCGTGGCAGACTGTGATATAGGTAGTTTGCAAAGTAAGAAGCTCGATAGTGGTGGTATATAGTACGTATGGTTATAGTGTTGCGCGCACTTGGTCTCAGTTGAGTCGTCGCGCCTTTCCAATACGCAACCAGCTCTCACCGTTGCATGGTCAAAGGACGTATTTCTGACGACAAGATTGCAAAGGCCCGACATGGAGTCGAACAAATTCAACCCAGGCGAGAGGATCAAAGGCGGATTGACCAGGTATGGGTTCTGAGGCACGCCCCGTAGCTTGGTCGACTTTTCAGGAACGGTTGAATCCGTGTAGTCCTCGACTGGGAACCGGCAGTCATCATTCCCACTGGACTCTTGACTTTTTCGACTTCTTTTCCCTAGAGACACATTTCCTTCGGGGCAACGAGCAGCACAATTCCGTCCAGAGTCAGGTGGTAAGGTCCTTCTTTCAAAACACCACTCATCACCCCCGAGACTCACCCGAATTTCATGCAGCGCCTCTCTCACCAAAGGCGAAATAGCATCATAGATTTCTCGCTCCGAAACAGGAATCCTTTGTAGGACTTTTGCCCTCGCGACATCCGTTTTGGGCTCCGTAGATCCAGGGTAAGGGTCTTTTAGGGGTGTTGACGATAAGATATGCCTTAGACAGACCTGTGTGCTCGAGATTAGCTCTGAAGAGTCTGATGATGACTCCTGTTGGATTGGTGAAAAATCCTGAGCGAGAGCAATGGACGTGGGAATGTCAAGAAGAAAGACTGTGCTCTGAGAGTTTTGATAGAGAATTGAGGATCGAGTCATTGCTGATTGCTAACTGTTTTGTGGCTTCGCAACGCCACTGTTCTTGGGGAATATCGGAGAAGTAGCGATGAGGATGGGGATTTGCACGGATCGTCCCAGGAAAATGTCTGACAGACAATTCTCCAATCCTTGATATATATATGTTCCCCAGGGCTAAGAAAGAAAGCTAAACGCGTATTGAACTACAAGCACGGGAAATAAAATATGAATATGTTGTCTATTTTTAGATAATATGGATTCCTAACGAGATACAGGCGACGCTGGTCAAACATTCACAAAAGCTTCGTATCGAGACTATCAAGGAAATTCGTCACATCGCCAGCAGTCTAAACCCACTGCAAGATTGAGACCACAAGAAATACAGGACTTTGAGTGATAGAAAAACAACAACAGAAACAGCAAGAACAACGACAACTCTCCTTGTATCCAACACAACTATGGTTGAAGAAACACGGCTTGAAACTCGGTGGTTCGCACCACTTGATGCTATATTGACAAATGTGACACCACCATGCTCTTTAAAGATGAGATAAAAACGAAAATGAAAATGGAAATAAAAATCAACAACACTTTTCCCTCTGTCGTCTCTCCTTTCCCCCTCTTCCAAGACGATCCAGCGTCAGTCTAGGTGAGATAAGGGTCATTTCATACATATAACCATACTACTCCGTATCCGGAAAAGTAGCAAAAAGTGGAATGAAAAAAATGTTAACTTTATACATAAAGTTGAAACAAAGTTGGATTACAAGGTCATATGCGAACCTCAGCGCTAATGAAAGATGATGTTAGCTTCTGTACGAGGCAGCCGCTGCTCACATATAGAATAGGAACCACTTACACGTCCACGTCGTCCCCCAGCAGACTGTCCTTGGGCAGGTTGCTGGAAATTAAATTGAGGAGGATACTGATACATCTGAGCCGTGTTCATAACAGGGCTAAACTGCTGGGGGCCAAATCCGGACTGATTAAGCATGGAGCCTGGAGGGCTCATCTGCGTAGCTCCAGACAAGGGGGTAGCCTGAGCCTGCATGCCTCGAAGGTTGTCCACTGAGGGAGATCCGCCCGGATATCCAAAATTAGCGTTACCCAGGTTCGGATAAACTCCACCAGGTGAGACGCCGCGAGATTGCGCAGCCAAATAAGCCTGGTACTGCGCCTGTTGAAGTGGCAACAAAGGATCTTGACCGAAGCCAGAGCCGTTCATTCCCGAGGCACCGTTCAAAGAATTGATCGTACCTGTCGAGCCCAGACCATTCACCCCATTGATAGTATAAGGATCAAAAGACGCAACACTCGACTGCTGATCGGCCCGGGCATTATCTAAGTTTTGAGAAAGCATAGCGGGAACGAACTGCCCGTTGTACTGCCTGTCCACGGATGACTGAGAAGGATAATTCGAAGGCGCAGGCCGAGAGGCGGGACGCTGGTGTTGTTTCTCTGAGTTATCCCGTCCATGATGGTTATCCCGGGCACCACCACGAGAAGAAAGGCCGACCTCATCCATTAGTCGCTTATACCCTTGGCTTGGTGTGGCCTTTAGCTTGGTGAGAACTTTCGACACGTTCTTCACAACCTCTGCACGCATGGATTCATCGAAAAATGGCGTAGTCAGAACCTTGAAAATCAAGGTTGCCCCTGATGTTTGATCGCTCAGAATCTTCTCCAAGACCTCATCACCAGGGCTGAAGAAAAGTGCCTTCAACACTATTTCACGGGCATCGGGCTCATTGCGTTGGTTAATAACCTTTAGAACCGTTAAATAGGCAACTTTATGGGTGCAGAGATGCACCAAATGCGGCACAAGTCTTGGGGCCAGCACAGTTCGCCGGCGAGGGAAAGTGCAGGTGTCGAGGAACCATGTGAGCAAAAGCGCACCGTTAGCATTTGTCGCGAGCTGCACGCTGTGAAGAGAGATTGCGGCCGCAAGCATGCGCTGCTGATCCTTGGTGGCGTGGTGACTTTCAAGGCAGGCTCTCATCGCGCGAGCTCCGAACCGACCTTGGGAGACCTCCCACATACGGCTCAGCATAGTCTCAAAAATGAAGTCATTAAACGAGGCGCCAAAGCGAAGACAACATTGTAAAACGTAGTTTCCGTACTGATCAAGGAAAAGCGGGACGGTGTACGGGCGGAGCGCAT